TTTTTTTTCTAAAAGATTTCTAGATTGTCTATCCTTACAGTATTTGGAAATTCCATATTTGGTAATAATCCTGACTGTAATACATATGTAAACTTGATAATTGGTCATGTGGGGTGAGTTCATATGACTGACTTATCAAGTAAACTGACTTATCAAGTTAAAATACTTAAATATTAAGAAAATGGGGTGAAAAGTTTGGCTGATTCATCAAGTGACCAACTTATCGAGTTTACATATGTATGTTTGTTAAACTTTTTTGTTGTAAAGTACTTTTATTTATTAATAAAAAAAAGGAAAAAATAAGTCAAATAAATCAAATGTATCTTGTAGAAAATATTCTATGAAAAAAAGTTGTTACATGAAATTTACTTAGTCTCAATTTCTTAAGTGTATAACAAAATTTGGAATTTTCAAAATGCTAAGGCTCAGCCAATAAGTTTTGAAGCTTGAGTCATGAACAATAAAACTTATCAGTTAAATTTTTTAAAATGATATAATTTTTTTTGTTTTAGTATTTTGAAGTTGACCAATTGTTACTATAAGCAATTAATGATTATAGATGATATGCACTGTATTGCAAATTCTGAGATAGTTGATATCTGATCTAGAGTCCAAATTCTGTAGTAACAAAGTCAAAAAAAAAGGTATTTTGAGTATACCACCAAGTTTTATTTCAAACATTTCCTGCTAAATTAAGTAATATAGTGACTCAAACCCTAACACCTATTGGGTTGATCAAACTCTACCTTAGCTGGATCCCAGTGTAAAGGCAGTTTCCAAATTCCTCAGATTGGGACTACACCTTCCATCAATGACTTAAAGGGAGAAAGCCATAGTAAAGTATTCTATAACAAATACATTTTATAAAAAAAAATAAAGTACACCAAAATTATACTTGACTTTTATGTAAAATTATCCAGAACAAAATAATATGGATGCTAATAGGAATAAGAGTGAAGGAGTTAAAATTTTATTCTGCATTTCACAATAGTGTATATTGATATGCTAAGATATATATTATTTATCAACTAATTATTGCATTGCATTGGTAATAAATAATCCAAATAGTATATGCCAATAAGATAGATAGAACTGAACATGTCTTTAATTAATGGTTTTTAAATTTTAATAAATAAAGAACCACACAGTTTCCAATAAGTTACTACCTTTGGGCCACATAGCAAATGAAAAACTGTCATAGAACTTAGCTTGCCTTTGGGCCGCAGCATTGTTCTGTCTTACCTGTCTAACCTTATCACAAAGAGGCTATCTGCCTTTTGGCCACAATAGCATATAAGGTACACAGAGGAACTATATCGCCTTTGGGCCTCACATAGCTCATGGGTGTGCAGCTCTGGCCTCCTCACCTTTGGGCCACAGGAGGGAACTGAATATGCACTAAATAAAAACACAATTAGCTTTTCTTGTCCTGAAAAATATTTTGTTGCAATGATGTTTGATTAAATATTGTATCATTGACCCTTTCCCTTTCTCCAAATACTTCAGCTGGGATCTTTCTAAATTAGTCTGAGTTTTCCTGATCATTTCTAAAGATGGCTCTGCAACTAGGGAGTTGCAACTCATGAGGTTGCAACTAAGGTTGTGGGCAAAACCTCCTTAGTAATTGCTGAAACCATGGCAAAACTATATTAAATCCAGTTGCATTTACTTTATCAAAAATTATTTTGTTGACACCCATTTCGTCAAAAGTTTGTTTCATCAAAAGTTCATTTCATCAAATGTTCATTTTGTTTCGTCCAGAGCTGGCTGCATAACTCTAACTCAATTTGACAAAACTTTAGTCAATTTAATTTCAGTTTAGTCATGTTTGGCGAAACTGAAACTAGTGACTAAAGTTTTGTCAGTTGATGAAAGTGTAAAACCCTAATATAGTAATGATTGTCTTGATTATTTATCCCGTTACATTTTTAATTATAATAATGTAATGATAATAATGATAATAAATGTGTTTTTATTATAAATTGAAAATTTGTATTACAAAACAAAATATAACCCTCAAATTAATAATATTACCATTATATCACAATTAAAAAAATTAAAAACAACAACTTGTCAATATTAAGTTGGATTTAAAATTTATTCATCCTCTGTCACCAAATTAGCAACTAATTCATGAGGATTATAACTTCTGCAAACGGACTAGTTATATCACTAGTTATATCTTGGGCTGAAATATCACTGCCTGGAATTAATACTGATAAATCAATTATTGATTCAATTGATAAATTATTATTATCAATGTTGTTATCAGAAACATCAGATAGATCCTCTTCTAATTCAAGTGATGTAAACGATGCCTCTTCTTTGAGATCCAATCCATTAATGACCATTTCTGAATTAGCCACACTAGAAAAATCAATATCATCATTTTTTTTTGGTACATAAAACATGGTTTTCTCAATATCTGAGATAAGATATGATTGGATTATTGCCATTGATTCCAAGTTGTCACTTGACAAAGAATTTCTGTTCAACCCATGGATCCATTTAAGTATTGAGAATGTTCTCTCACAACTTGCCTGAGAAGGTACTATTGAAAACAATTTAATTGCAAGTTGTTGCAAATAATTGTGATTATCTTCAATCATTGTCCACCATGTAATAGGATTGTTAGCATTAAATATAAAATCATAAGTTGGCTAACAGCTATATCTGTGAAACCTAACCTTGAAACATATGAAACAGCAATATCACATATTCAACAAAAATTTCCTTGTTTCATGGCATACTATATAAATATATAGGGTGATTAATTATCATTATTTAAATCACTATAAATATAATATATTTTATAGATAATATTACCTTTATGTTTTGGATGCAAAAAGTAAGCAAGCAGATAAAGGTCAATTTCAAAAGAGTTAAATCTGGAGTTGAAAATTTTAATAATTTCTGATTGTAAATTCATATTGTTTGGTAATTGTTTAATTGCCAAAGCAAGATACACAAATCCTAAAAAACAATCTGAAAGATTGGCACTTCTTTGTTCAAGACAATGAATGATTGGTTTGATTGGTTTAAAAATTTGTGAAATAATTTGTACATCATAATGAAAAAGGCTAAACTTGACTTAACACTTTAGTCAAGTCATGTTGACTAAACCTTAGGGTTATGCAGCCAGCCCTGGTCATAATATTCAATTAGTAATCTTTTTGCGCATATGATAATTATGCACTTATACAGAAATATGAATAAAATTTATTGGTGTTACTAACCCTTTAACACTACTGACCATTACTAAAATTGTCCCTTAATGTGATATAAATGTTTAATTTTCAGTTATAAAATGTTAGGTTGTTTATTTGATTAAAAGTTAGAATTATAGATGCCACCCAAATTAAAAATCATGATTCCCGAATCTCATTCACGCTCATTTATGAGGGATCATAAATCCAAATTTGGATGATGAGTGATCATCATTTTCAGGTGCTCATTCAATGAGTCATACCACCAAAAAAAAAATTTTTTATTGTTGTTATTCAAAAATGAAAAATGATAACATGAAGTTATTATGGGAATTTTTAAACATATTGTGAATTTGCTATGGGTCTGATTCCTATAGAAAATAAAATAAAAAAACATTATTAATATATGGTAAAGTAATCCTTTTGTTTACATTTAATATACACGTTTATATATATACATAATCCTATGTTGCTTTTTAATTTATTTCAAGAAATTATACAAATAAATAAAAAATGTTATTTTATTGTTGCAAATTATATTACTATTAATATAATAACTGTTTATAAAATTCTTCATTGATAACTCCAACCAATTTTAACAATTCTATTCTTTTATTTGCTTCCTCATTAGTTGTTTGATTAAAAAAATTTAAAGGTGATATTTTATAATAATTTGGTTTTTTTCCAATTGAATCCTTAATTGAAAAAAAATCTTTTGAACTATAATTGATCCAATCTTTTATTATTTCTATATTTACTTTTTTTATCATAATTTTAATTATTGTCAATTTCTTTTGAATAATTATATTATTATTATTATTATTATTATTATTATTCTTTCTGCCTTCTTCACCTCCACCTTGATCTTCATCATTATTATTGATGATAACATTTTGTTCAAATATTGACCCATTCAAATGATGAATAATCATCCAATACAAAATTGATGAGTTACAATAATCTTTTTTTTTGGCTCCAATATAAATCAAAGCCTTTACAAATGCAGTCATAATAACTAAATTTTCTTCAATGGGATAAAAAAATGATAAAAAACATTTAATAAAATCACCATCACCAATACACACTAATTCATCATATTTGATCTTTAGTGGTTGACTAAATATTTCCAATAGTTCATTTTTATTCCAAAATAATAATTTGAAATTGGTGGAATATTTAGATGAAATTGGTAAAAGTAAAAGTTGTGTATAATATTTGTTTCCAAATGATTCTGATACATAATTATCTATAAAATCTTGATAGAATTGATAAAATGTTGATTTTAATAATGATTTGATTTCTATTTGTTCTAGTGTTTGATAAAATGTAGTTAATAAATTACTATCATTACTGCTACTGCCACTGCTACCAATATCATCATTACTAATATTTTCAATTCTTTTTTTCAGGGTAAATTTCTCAAGCAATTCTTCTATTAAAACCTCAACACTTGGATCTCTGTATATTTCATCCTCTAATAAAAATATTTTCATCAATGATAATGCTAAAAAATGTGGCTCAATTATATAATTCTTTATTGGTAAACTGTTGCCGCTAAAGATATCCCTTATTTGACATATGAGTTTCAAGCAACCTTTCACAATCTCATTTTTGACTTCTTGATCTAGTACCAAATCTGAACTTTTGAAATAAAGTATATCAATTGGTGAAAACAAATATGATTGTAACAATGGCAAACTACCCTTTTCGTTAATAACATCAATTAATAAACTCTCTTCTTGTTCATCACCATCTTTTTGAAATTCTTTGTTTTTCTTTAAAAGCTTGGAAATAATTCTATCCCTATAAAATGAGTCAAGAAATTTTACAATCTTTCCAGTTTCACCTGAATCACTTGAATTCTTAATAATTACTTCCATTATTTTTCTATGAGTATCCAATGCCAACACTTCATCACCAGGTAAAATATCAGCAATAAGAATTAATTTCACCTGTAATGATTTGATTGAATGTTGATATTTAAGATTACTTGCTACTGTGTTTTGAGGACAATCCAAAAGAAAATCAATACTACATGACCATTCATATTGTAAATATGTATTCATTCTACTGAAAAAATCAATCCAATTTGATTTAATTTGATTTTTTTTAATTGTGAATTCAAGAATTAAATCAATTGGTACCATGGATCCAATTAATAACTGTAATGCAACATTTGTGAAATCCCCTTTGTCTTCTTTAAATAATCTAGTAGAATAATTTATTAAAGACACAAAAGATAAATATAAATCTAGAAATATTGATATTTTTAATAATTTTGTGGAATAGTCAAAAGTTGTTGGATAATAAATTCCTGGTAAATTAGATATTTGCCATTTATCATGTTTATCATCTTTATCAGATGTTGTTATATTTTGAAATTCTTTTATGGAAAATTTTAATTTTTGATTCAAGTATTTGTTAATATTGGTGGAAGTAAAACAAAATAGCCTTAATTTTTCCCAAATTCTTTTGATTTCACTAGTATCTTTCAATTTATATCCACAAAGATATTTACACCAAGATGCAATATAACTAACAATACTTGATAATAAAATCAATGTTTTTTCCATATGTGCTGAATCTAATTTGTGCTCAGAGAATATTTCACAATGATTGCCATCGGTTGATGATGATGATGATATCAATGGAAAACTTGTAATTAAACTTTCTACAAAATCAGTTGCATCCTTTACAAACTCACTTGGTTGAGCCCCAGTTTGATGTTCATGATAGTGGTGTTGTCCATGGTTCCTCATCCATACTTCTAATAACCTAAAGAATGCAGTTGCAATATTAAACTTTTGTGTCATATATAAATTTGTATTACTACTATTACTACTACTCCATGATGCAGAAAGTAAATATACTTCTTTCATTAAATGACCACTAAATACTGTATACAATTGTGAAAAAATTTCGTGATAAAGTCCATATGCAACCAAAGTATGATAAATACAAAGAACTTCATAGAAAATATCGTATCCAATTATTATCTCAAATTGATTTGACAAAGTTGATGGGTCAATAAGCATATATCTTAACAATGTTCCAACATATTTTTCTTTAATATTACGACTTATTTCAATTGAAGATACACATAAGGCACGTAAAAGCTTGAATGCTGATAAATTTGGAAGATTTTTATGATCTGATGAAGGTAAGTCATCATCATTCACAACAACAGGCCAAGATAAGCATATGAATTTCCTGTGAATGACATCCACTAATTCAGGACTTTTATAAATAGCATTTGCTGTTATTCTAGAATGTCGAGCAAAACAAACAAGCATAAGTAAAATTTGATCATTTGTGATTTGTGGTAAATTGAAAACATCTAAAAGATATTTTAATCGTTGTAAAATGTTCATAGATATTAATCCTGAAACAAGATCTTTTTTTGCAAGGTTAACATGATTATCAAACATATTGTTACCATCAGAACCATTATTATTTAATTCATCATCATCATCTTGTTGTAAAGTTATCTCATATCCAAACTCTTTAGATGTTTGAGTTATCTTATTCTCCAAAAATGAGCATGATTCATATCCCCGATACAAATTACCAAAACAATACCATAAATTTTCCTCCTCTTCATAATGATCTTTTATAGACCCAATAACCCAAGCAGATATTGCGTCAATGGCAGCTACTATAACAGCCTCTGCTTTGTCATCTAATGCAACCCTCAAATAAACAGGCATTTTCATTTTGATCACCCAGTCAGCTATTCCTTTGCTATTTTCAAAACCATAAAGGCCCTTTCTTACATTTCTCATTATCCTACCAATGATATTCAAAGGAATAATCTTTTGACTTGGTACAACACTTCTTGTCAAATGAAGTAATTCAGATATAGTGTATCCAGCTCTATCAGGCTCATCTCCATGGTGATGAAGTCCCATGTAAGTTGGAACTTCAATATTTTTTTCTATTATATTTCCAGAAAAATCAAATCTGAAGAATGCAGCATGTGGATCATTTTTTGTAGGAATGTATGGTGCAGTCCCTCCTCCTCTTGGATTGTTAGTTTTTAAATTGGTAGATGATGATGATGATTGTTTAACGTCATCACTCTTATTTATATTATTAAACTTGACACCCATCCATTCTAATTTTTCAGATTCAAATGATACATCTGAGAAAAATTTTTCTTTCATTTTAATTGGTGTTGAATCATCATCACCAATGTCTTCCTGCTTAATCAAGACACTAGATTTACTTTCTTTGATATTCTCAATTGATTCTGCAAAATGGACATGTTTTTCTCTTTTTTTAAGATCTTCAGTCACAGCAAGATCCAATTGATATGATTTCTCATAATTTTCATCCTTATTATTATTGTCATTATGTTGATTTTGATGTTGATAATTTTCTTCTAATGGTATTCGTTCCACTAAAGGCTTTTTATTTGTAATCTTTTCAATAAATCCTGGTCTCAATGTTTTTTTTAACATTTCAATTGTTTCTAAAATCTCATCTTCAGACATATTAGCAATTGTTTTATTGTTTTCATTGTCAATTTCAAAATAATCTTTTTCAAATAATTTTGTATCATTATTTTTTTTATTTGACGTGAAGTCTACATTAGTAGTAGTAGAATTTAGAGTTTCCTTTACAGTATTCTTATTCTTATTATGCAATCTTTGCTTGAATAAACTTCTATGAATAGGTTTAGGAAAACCGATGTTATTTTTTTCTGGGGTTTGATTGATATTAGAAGAGGAGGGTGGTATTGCTGGTTCAGTAACAGTTTTTTCTTTAATAGAACCTAAAATACCTGTTTGGTTATACATGTCAATTAAAATCCCAGAGTCGAAATATTCTTCATTAATATTAATAAAATCTTGATTTTATTATTTATATATGGAATGTGTAACGTCGATCACAGCGAACAAAAAAATTAGTGTATATAGTTTTTGCGAGAGAGAATAATTTTATTCCATTACCACTTACCATTCTCATTCTATTGTTACTGCTAATAATTTCCCCCGCATTTTTATAACCAATAGGTTACGCCTATGTTTGCGAAGTGCAAGTTTTTGTAACAGTAAAGTATCTTAGAATTCACTTGCGTTTTTTTTTAGAAGGAACTTTCAAAGTGGGATACATGGGTGCAGTAATATTAATATTAATAGTGATTAATGTAATACAAATAAATGGATTACATCAAAAAATATATAAAATATTTTCTTTCCTATTTTTTTAAAATGAATTCAGAATTACCAGTAGAGTGTTTAAGAGAAATTATAAAAATATTACAAGATGACATGAAATCATTACATTCATAATCGTGTAGTTATTCGCAAATTTCGTGAAACCTCAGGAATATCCGCCACAAAAAAATATTCGCAAAATTATAAACTAAATATTCTAATTCACAAAACAATTTCAGAAATGATATCTGAAAAAATAAATATATATAATTAATTTGACAAAAATGGACATGTTTATTTTAGTAAGTTATGTTCATAACTAATCTTATTTTAGAAATCATTGGCTTTAAGGATACGGTCTAGCACGTGATCATTTATTAGTAAATCCGGTTCTAAAAAAATGCCGATCAATTTCCTTGAAAAAAAATCCACGTGAGATATACAAAACTTTTTAGACATTCACTCAAATCTGTTGATATCACGTTTATTGGTTAATCGTAGACGCGATCACCATCCTTCAAAATTTTAAATATCATTATTATACCAGTTTTATAGAAAAAGCTCAAAAATAGTTTCTCATTCCATAAGAAAAAATTTCTCATCCCTTAAAAACCCCTCATAATA